ATGAAAATGGCTAAGTTTGAGGCCTCCATCATTAAAGAATGAGATTTTATGACAGTGAATTTTTAAAAGAATAAGATTTGTATCGAAAAAGTTGTTGGAGAACAAGGTCTTGCTTTCCAGCAACATTTTCCATACAAATTCTCTAAATTTTCCGGAAATTCAAACTGTCGTATAAACTTACTCTTTAATGCCAGGGGCCTCAAACTTGGCCATTTTGGTATTTTCGATGCGTTCTTTCCATTTCTGGCATTCTTCAAGTTATAGCCCATAAAATAAAAAATTTCTAGGAAAAATTTGGTCAGGTGACCCCAGCTGCAAAGGGCCCATTAGGGAGCTTAAGCAATGACGACGGCAACGCCAAGGACGACGGCTAGAAAAAAATGGACTTAAATTTTACCTTTGAATTTCGCAATTATCTAGAACTGTTCTGCAAGCAGAGCGGTCTCAAACCCTTCTCAAACTAAAGATGTAACGCCAGCGAATAATTCTAGAAGAAAATACGAAAAATTAGCCGTCGTGGCTCACGTTCTTCAAAATACCCAAAACTTGGTCATTTCACGTTGTTGTTTTGCAGAGGACGCCGAAGAAATGTACAAAGATTTATAACGCACGTGCACAGCTATTGTTTTGCTCATTAAACCCTTTGCTTGACTGCCTTTTCGCTGCCGTTGCCGTCGTGGTTTGCTTAAGCTCCCTATTGTGTTTAGAGGAGGCAGTACTGCCCGTTGTCTAGAGCGCTGGACTTGAAGGTTAAAATCCTCTCGCGATCAGTAGCTGGCGTTGTTCTCGCGATAGTCCCGAATTCTACTCCTCAGCTACGCTTGTAAATAGCCTACAGGTCTGTCTCCAGTTTACTTTGATAACACTTGTCTTCTCTTTTCTTTTCCAGACTCGCAACTATTCTCGCATCAGGCCCATGACGTTTGACTGAGCCTCGCACAAGTGAAACACCAGCCGCCAATTATTGAGACATTTCTTGAAGAGCATGATTTATAGAAATTAGTCATTTGAATCATATCACTAAGCCTTCAAAATATATTGTAGAGTGCAAAACCATTCAAGGAAATGTCATAATTATCTACAGATCATAGGTCATAGTTAACAAAGTATTGCTCCTTGACTCGAGTCATAAGTGGCTTTTCGACAGGTCTGTTGATCATATTAGTTTTAAGTATTAATATTAACAGAAGCGCGCAAAAGTATCATTCGTACGTAAACCTACAGATCTCTATCCAGTCACACTACTGTGATTTGTAAAAGTTAATATATATATATATATTTTTTTTGGTTTTGCAAAATTTGTTTACCTACTTTTTTGGGAGATCATAGTCATGTGGTGTCTAAAGCTATCTTTAACCACAACAACCACAACAACAACCGTTGGATAACTGACAACAGAACATGACTGGAGTTCGTGTTTGTCGCCTGAAGTAGATCCAGATTAATTATGTAGATACTTGTATTTTCATGCTTATATACACAGTTGTAGAGATAATAGTGTGTGTATTTTTTGTATCATCATTGTAATCAATGGCAGTAAATCCTGATAAAGAATGTACAGTATTTTTATAGCTTGAAAATTGTAATTTTGTTTCCCATAATTTTAGATGTCTTTAAATAAACACGTTATTTCTAACAGGTAGCAATTTTCATTTGAGCATTATTGATACCCTTATTTCAGTTGTCTTAACCCAAATTTCTGAATCCTGTTCTAACACAAGACAATTAAAACTTAATCAGATCAGCAATCTTTTTCACAAGATTGAAGCTCCTTGTAGCTCTCAGAGTATCTTTAGTCATCTGGATCCGTTTTATATTTTTCGGATTCACTCTTTATTTTGGTGCCGTTATCATCACAAACAACTGTTTTCTTGGTTCTTTTTCGGGGATATTTCTGTCTCTCACTCGTTAGTTTCCGTTATTTTTCATGTACGATGTTGCCAATTTCTTTGTCTTTTCCGGGCCGAATCAGGAAGAAAGGGAACAAAGAGCGAAAGCTTCTCGTGACGTCGCTCACGTTCCCGATTTCAAGGAGAAGTCGATATCAGGCAAATCTATTGACACACCCGTATCAAGAAAACCGGCTCAACATTGATAACAATAAGCATTGTTATAAGACCTAAAATTGGTCTTATATGGTCATTTTGAACAATGGCGGTATAAGCTTCTAAATGCCCGCGGGAGTTTTTGAAATTTCCGATTA